CTGGAATAGTCTTGATTATTTAAGTATTCTGAGTCTTTCAACTTTTACCCACAGTTACCTTCAGGAGCCTTTCTTCTGAATAAATGTGGGTTTCTCCACAGGAGGAGTTCTGGTGAATAGGATTTTCTGTCTTTTTTTACATATGCAAATGTGTGTGTGTGTGTGTGTGTGTGTGTGTGTGTGTGTGTGTGTATATATATATATATATACACACACACACACACACACACGAGGTCTGTCCAGAAAGTACCCAGCCATTGTTAATATAACGAGAATGGTTACATGGCTGGATACTTTCTGGACATACCTTGTATATTGCATTTGAAATGTGTGTCTTCAGGAGTTTGGCATGGAGCATGATTTGAACACCCAAATGCTTGGGACATCTTGAATTCATGATACTTGGTGGGCTAGAACAATGAGGCTATAGTCCTTTGCCTTTCAGGTACTGCGCTTGACATGTCAAAATGGCTGAACGGAGCATGACCATGGGCCACATGAGTGATCGGCTTATGACTCTTGGCTTATAAGAACCCTAAGGGGCTCCAGCTACAATAATCAATGCTTTAGATCTATCACTGCCCTGATCAAAAATCTCCAAGGGATTTCCATTTCAGTGCATTCTGTGAAGGCATGAAATTTGTCTGATGTGCATGATACTGTCTCCTCATGGCTTAGGGCAGTGCATGGAACTTAAAAATTTGATTAATAAGTGAATAATACAGGTTAAAATCTTTGTCAGTCAGGATAGACTAGGTTATGCTGCAATAACAACTCCCAAGTCTCAGTTGCTTAAACAACAAACTATTTCTTATTCAGTATGTACATCCAGCAAGCGTTGGCAGTAGAAGGGGAGGGCCTCTGCTCATTGCAGTCACTCAAGGATCAAGGCTGATAGTGCAGCTCATCCTATTCCAAAGGCGAAGAGATGTGTTTCAACAATTTAAGGCTCTAGCTTATCGTTTTGAAGTGATACCATCAGTTCTACTGATATATCATTGTCTAGAACTTTATGGCCCACCCAACCCTAAAAGGATCAGGAAGTGCAATTCTACCATGGTCAGAAGGTGAAAAGGCTCAACTTCTCTGAAAGATATGACAGTATGGCTTTAAGATCAATATCTGTTGATTCTTACATTATTATTAGTAGGACAAATGATCATCGGCTGCAGTACAAAGAATTGCAAGGTATTTGGAAGGAGAAAATAGAATTGTGTTGATATTCTTATTTAATTGCATACATATAGAATGCCATTTAAGGCAAGTCTTTATATATATATATATATGGATATATATATTTTAAATTTTCAACAATGCCCATCTGAGTGCCTTGAACATAACCCATTAGTTGGTGGATTAAATCAAATTAAATTGCAGAAGTAACTATCTTGACACTTAATTTCCCTAAAAATAAAAAGCATAATGGTTATAGGTTTTCAAAATGGTAGCCTTTATTAGCAAATGAGAACTTCCTTTTAATTTTAATTCATTAGCATAGCAAAAACACAAATGAAAACAATTGGGGCAAAGACTATTTTATACACTTCTTTATTTCAAATGCCTGGCAAAATATATGCCTCTAGAATGAATGAGTAATAATTTCTGGAGACTGTCTTAATGTTAAAGAAATAAGAAAACATAGTGGTTATTTTATTTTATTTCTTTTCATGAATGTATTTTATCCAAGTGTTTAAGAAATGGGCTCTTGAGCCAGATCATTTAGGTTTGAAACCTGCTACATTATTTAGTAGCTATATAATGTTGTGCGAGTTCTTTAACCTCTCTATCTTTCCTCACATTCCCTATCTGTGAAATGGAGATAATATTAGAATACTACTTATTTGATGGAATGAGTAAAAAGAATTAAATTATACTTTATAAGACATCATAGAGAATAGTGCTAGCACATGGTGAAGGTTTAATGACCATTAGCTGCTGCTAATGATCCGGCACAGTCAGTATAAGCTTTCCGTGCACACTCACTAACACAACCATAACAAAGCACAGAAGTGAAATATGTAATACCAACTGGAAAGAACTTTGGCATTCTTAATTTATTTTTATCTGTACAATTATTTATTATTATTTTGAAATTTGTTGAGTGGTAAGGTTTAATAAACATTTGTTATGCTACGAAGAGCTATTATGTGTATTTTGTGCAATGTGAAAGGCCAATGAGGAAGACTGATCAGTCCAAAGCACCCCTCATTCTTTCACTGTGTGTAACATGAGAAAACAGAATCGCTTCCAAAGATGCACTGCAGCATTGAAACTTCTTTATAATGCCTCTGAAAGGCAAGAGAGTATTCTGAGGAATTTCGAAAGGTTTTCGAGGAAAGAGAATTATGAGAACTATCTTGATTTTGAAAACAGTATAAAATTCTAGACGGTATGATTGATGACAGTGGGGTTCTGATCAATCATGTTTTCTGCTTTGTCTCCAAGCAGCCAACACACAGTAGGTGCTTTATAAGTGATTTGTGAAATAACTGAAGGAGTATTTCAGAGAACTATTACTAGTGCAATCTGTAAGTGAAAACTAGGTCACCTTACATACATCACTGAAGTTTAGGTGCAATTATGCTATATTTCTGAAGAAGAAAGGGTTCAAATCATATTACTACAGACAAGATGTTGAACTTCTGAGTGTTTTTCCTCCCCATCCCAGCATATTATTTGAGGGAAAACAATTTTTTTTTTTTTTTTTGGAAAAAAGAGCCTTGAGCATAATTCTTCCTCAAAACCCAGTGTTTGGTGCTGAAAATGACATATTTCTATTCATTAAACATGTTCAAAAAATTCAGAAGGTTTTTATTGCGCTCATGCATATAAACATCTATGCTCTATTCCAGATATAGAATATTCCAAGATTTAACTGCTGAAACAACCAACAGACTTAAATTGGTATGAACCTGGCAATATTTTTGGTTAACTCACTGGTTAAAAGAACAGTAAGAGGTAAGAAATGCCTTATATTTCACTTTCCCATTCACTGTTGAAAGTCTAACTCCCATTAGCACTAACAAAATCTTGCAGAACGTTTTTGTTCTTTTGTTTCTCTTTCCCTCTTTACTCTTTTGGCAAATGAATGCTATCAGTAAAACCTCTACCATTATCTATCAGGCAATAGAGTGTTAAAGCGCTGCTTGAGTTGTTGAAGAGTTAGTGGGCAGATATTACAATTCACTGTAGCTGTAATAGAGGGTAATGTCACTTTAAGACATGTGATACTTTAGAGAGGAGGGATGTATTGAAACAGACTACTGCTACTTACAGCACCACCGTATAGCAGCCCTGCTCCTACATTTTGCTGCCTTACTCTGCCCCAAATGCACCGGAATGGGAATGGTCCGTCGGCAACTATAAACTGATTCTCCTCAGGAAACTGCACATTCTCTCCCCATCACTTCAAAGGTCTCGTCAGGCAGAGGTGACGCCAGGAGATGATTTAAAGGTGAAAATGACAAGGTTTCCACCCCTCAAATCTTGGCTCCTTTTCTGACAATACAGTCTGAATGAACCCGATGTCTTTACTGTGGAAATAGGATCGGAAGAGGAAAACATATTTTTTTAATCTTGATAAAGAAGATTGTTGGGAAGCTCTTTTCTAAAAAAAAATCTCAAATTGTGGCACAGATGGATTTTAGAAAGTGTTAGATCTTTCCAATGAACACTAATAGAGTACTCTGCTCTTGGCTGGATTTTTCAGGTAAGACACTTCTTTAAGAATTTAAGATTGTGAAAGCAGATCTGGAACATATTCCGTCATATCTAGAGAACTATGCAGGCTGGATGCCTTTTTTGGGGAAACACTTATTAACATTGAGACAACCTCTCGGTAAAGGAGCAAGCAGTGAGAGCAATATGCAGGAGGCTTGGAAGTAATGCTGAGAATTAAAGAAAGTTAAATAAAAAATATATATTGCAAATGTCAAGTCACAATGATCTTTTTGAGTGCTAAGATCTATGTAGGTGAAGAAATGAGCAAGAGAAAGCAGTCATAGAAATACTATTAAGTTTTGATTTTGGTAGGATTTTTTTTCAAGTTTAGATTAATTCCTAGTGCATTTTAACTGCAATTCACAGCACAGTGAATTGACAAAACACAATCACCTCTGTTTTGTCTTTCTATAATTTAAAGGGTATTGTGAAAAAGTCCAAAAATGTATTTTTTGGGGGATTCGCAGTAGGGGTGTTGCTATTTATCTCCACTGAAGAGAATGCATCTATGTTATCCTGACAGCTCTGAAACAATAAGGCAAGGTATGTTGTGTACAGAAGTAAATAGTGGGCAGCAAAAGTATTAGAAAGTGAGTGTTCCGTCTGAATCACGGACTTGGACATGAATAGCATCACGCTGTTGAAAATAATGTTTTCCTACTTTGCAGTTAATTATAGTTGTCACCATTTCTCTATTATAGTCCTAAAACTCTCTTCGAAGGCTACATCTCTCTCCTAAAACACACAAATTATCCTGTATTATGTGCATATATGATGTATAATTTTGCTTTCTGAACATCACAGTTTTTAGAAAGAGTACCAATTTCCATTAATAAAGAAGCCACGCTGGGAGGTCACTAGCAGGTTTTCAATGTAGAGTTAAAATTCTTCAAGGGTATGATTTGACAGTGGAAAGGAAAAGAAAGAAAGCAATCTTGCTTCCAAAGCCCTGTCTAGCTGAGAGAAAAGCATATAGTTAACTGGATTCTTGTACAGAATATGCCTCCCTATCACTGGCTGAGGAAGGATGATGCTTCAAGTTTGATTAATTTGGCAATATGAAATGCAGCATAAGGTGTTGTTTGAGAAATTGGACAATATGTAGCGCAGTTGAGCCTTTGTAGCTCCTAAGATCCTCGTAGGTGCAGATAAGACTGTCAAAGTTTCTGCGCCTGAGAAAAGGTATATGTTCATCCATAAATACATATACCACCTGTATATGCATATTCATCAACACTATACAACAAATGCCACAGTGGAATCTTAGCAGCAAGATTGTAAATGATGGCTTGCTCTAGGATAGATGCATACATCTTGCATTTGAAACTCATTCTGGCTGAAGACAATTCCTTCTGATTTTAAGTCCAGCCAAAAAGATCAGTTCTATCAGGAGATTACAACATGCCTCTGAGAAATGATTACTTAGTTTAGAAGACAGCACGGCAATTAAAAATTCATGAGTATAGAATTAAAAAAAAGAACCCACTCTTTCCTTCCAGGCTTATGTCAGACTTGCAATGAAGTTAGAATGAACAGGAGTCTGCAGCTTTTCAATAGCTGGGATAACTACAGTTTAAAGATCATTGTGTAAAATAGGATTTTAGTCAGCATATATTGTTTCAAAGTGTTTAACTGATAGTCAAAAACTTTATTTTGTATTTTGGCAATCTTTGGAATTTTGTTTTGCAGAATTTAAAAAAATGAATTTATGATCTTCTGGAAAGGGCTTCCCCTCAATCCCACTTCATGGCATGACCTCTGCTGGGTCATTAATTCTAGCCAGAGAAGTAGCAACGGAACATAACGTCTGAGACCTCCCTTCCCTGATCAGTGGGGCTGACTGAGCTAGGGGCGTGAAGCTGGGGGTAACCTTTCCTGTCGAATGTTCTCTTTAGAGAATGGCAATGGTCTCTGCGATGTCCTGGGTGCTGTATTTGTGGATAAGTGCTTGTGCAATGCTACTCTGCCATGGATCCCTTCAGCACACCTTCCAGCAGCACCACCTGCACAGACCAGGTAAGTTGGAGCTGGCTCTACTGCAGCCTCCTCCGGTCTCACCGCTGTCTCCTTAACAGATGGTTGAATGCAAGTGACAAAGTGCTATAGTGTGGGCAGCTTGCCTTTGAATCCCAAGACATAGCGTTGGCTGGATGCTTCCGGAGGGAAGGGGAGTATAACAAAATGTTTCGGAGGTATTTCTATTAATTCTCAGAAAACGAGGGTTTCTCTCAGTGTCATCCCACCCACTTCCACACACCTCGAAAAGTAGAAGGCATTTGCTTTTGGATGCTTTGGCCAATAGCAAAATATTCTGCAAAAGGTGGGATAACTTTCAAAACTTGAGGATTTTTTTAGGGAGGCAAAATACCATCTTTGTGTGTCTATTCCTGGGATGCATTTTTACCTAGTATAAATACTATGATTTTGGTCTGTGTGTGTGTGTGTGTGTGGGAGGAGGAGGTAGTCCCCAAACTAACTTTGGAAGTTAAGTTGTCAATGAAAAAGAAATTAAAGAGTAACTTACTATTTCTTGTTTGATTTAATTTGCCTCCTTTCCTTTCTCCCTTCCTTCACTTTCTGTTCTTCCAGTGTGTGCTCAGTGGCTTTTTTCCCTTTCTTTTGGTAGTTTCAGGAACGCGTTCCCTCTCGTCTGATTCCCCCCATATTGAATACTTAGTTCTGGAAGCATTTCGCTTTCTTCGTCTTTCTGTTCGAAGTATATTTCTCGCCCTTCCATGGCCTCACTCTTGAGTCTGGATTTTTCTCTTCTTTGCCTCTCTCACCAGCTTCCTCATTGCCGTCTCCGCCCCAGCTCGATTGTCCTTACCTTCCCTTGTTCTCGAAAAGGTTTCCTCCCGTTTTCTGTTTAGCTTTAGCCTTTGCATCCTTTTACTACCTCTCCCTTCACCACCACCCTCCTTCTCCCCCACCCTACCGTCCCACTCTCCCGCCCCCGTGACGTGACGGTCAAGTTCAGGCTCTGGGGACCAGTTGCGCAGCCAAGTTTCTGATCCTCAGTTCGGAAGTGCTCCCAGCCCTCCATCCCCCGCTCCAAATCCCTTCAATGGCCTCCTCCCATCCGTGGCGCTTCCTCCTGCTGCGCGGTCCAGCGTCTACGCCCTTTCCTTTCCCGGCTCCGCAGTTGGCCTGGACAGGGATCTTGGGTACAGTCCTCCGGCAGCACCTCCTGGGGCGCCGCTAGCTGCCTCCTGGGGCGCTGCTTCCAGGCTGGGGCAGGCTCGGCAGAGCGTGGGCGCAGCCCAGGGTCCCCCGGAGAGCCCGCACCAGGCGGCAAGGAGCGCACCAGCCGGCTGGGTGCTGGAGCCCCGGCCACCCCGGGAGGAGGGATAGGGGGCGGCCTGTGTTTGGGGCTGAGGCTGGGGGCTGTCCCCGGGCCTCAGCCATCCTTCTTCCCTGCGCCCTGGGTCAGGGACGGAAGGCGAGGGGGCGCTGGTGCCCCTGCAGGTGGGCTTGGGAACGGCTCTGCCTCTGCTGCGCGCTGGTGCTTCTGCAGCCTGTGTCCGGAGCCTGGCGCAGGGACCGCTAGACAGACGTGGATTTGGGGATCTGCACCTTACCTCCAATCACTTAATCACCAATCTGTTCTGGCCAAAAATGTCTTTGACTTGTTACACAATCATACAAATACTGTGGGAAATATGTACTTGTAATACTCAAAAATAAGAGTTCATAATTAAAAAAAAAATCCAACTATTAATTGTGATGTTTCAGGCACTATTCCCAGAGTGAATTCACATTGTTTAGTATAATCCTTATGCAAGTGGGTGTCATTTCCCCTGTTTTGTCCAGGAAATGGAAGTTCCGAGGGGTTGGGTGACTTGTCTGAAGCCACACAGCAAAGAGCTGCCATTGGAAGTCAGAACGGTTTGATTCCATCACCAGAGCAGGTGTCCCCAGGAGGGGGAAATTCCTCCGGGTGCACAGAGTGACGGTGCCACGTAGCTTCTTTGAGGAGGTTTGAGCCCCTTCACATAATCTGTGAAAATTTTCATTATGTCCATTCATGGACTCATCTGAATGCAAGCCCATTCTGAGAGGTGGCATGGCAGAACTGGTGAGTGGCTCGTGGTCAGTGGGAAAGCAGGGCTCAGGGCTGGCCACCATCTCTGTCTGTCACTTCAGGTTAGTGACATGACCTTGGGAAAGTGACTTTTCTTGTCTGAGCTCAATTTCCCATCTGGCGATATGATAGGGGGTGTAATGAAAATAAAAATAACTTCTGAGTAAGTCTTTTTGTAAGCTGTGAAGTTCTTCATAAATATCGGGAATATTTCTGACATCCCCTCTTAATAGACTGCAAGCCTGCAAGTCAGGGATGTTGAATGAATGAAGTTTTGCTGTTCATATAGCTAATAATCCACATAGCGAGAACAAAAACTGGTTTTTTAAAATTTTTTTTATTGTGGTGGTACATAGCTAGAATATACCACCAAGTGCTATGCGTCTTATTTTACACTCTATGCGTATAATCATGAGATATACATGGTGCAATTTGCAATGAGCTTTCACATAGGTTGTCTCTATTAATCAGTTAATATACAGATTTTTTTTGGTGGGGGGTTATGTATAATAAGTAAACTCATATTTTTGTAGGGCTTATTATTAAAATGTAATATCTTAAACAGAGAAACACATTATTAAGTTCTGACTGAAATTAAATTCAATAGTTGTTTTCTCCATTGTCTTCCTTAGAATTTGCTTATTATCAACCAATGCATGGTTGATCTGTGCGTCAAGTACCCCAAGAAACTGCAGCATTGAAACCAATTTCAACCCAAGTGCTTATACATTTGGGACCCATTCAGCTTCATTGTTGAAATGAAGAAACTATAAATACCCCTTTCTAGATGCAGAGAGATTAAAATGATATTAAACTGAAAGTCCAATGGTTCTATGTAATACGTTTATTCAACTTTCTTGGTTTTTCGACAATAGCTGTGAAGATTAAAGTGATAGATCTTGGCCATGGCAATATTCTAGATTATTCTAGTCAGACTTTTTAATACAATCTTCTGTTTTGATTTTAAGAGTAAAAATATGCTTTTTTCGATGAGAGTTGTGACATTTTCCTTTGTGGGTCTTAAATCTTCAGGGACACTAATGAAATGTGTATGAAAACAAGAGAGAAATCAGGGCCAGTTATCTGTGACAATCCACCCCTAAATGAGTAAATAAATAAATAAATAGCTGGATAAATGAGCAAAAAGGAAAAAACATAATCTCATTTTCTCAAATCAGTTAAAACAAGTGACATGATGAGAAAAAATGAGACACCAGCAGACCCTGAGCTTTGTCACATTTGCCTAAGCTTGAAAAATCACCTCTTTCATAAAGCAAGAGCAGGCAGACTCTGCGTGCATACCAAGTATACCAGGGAAATGTGGAAAATGACAAATCTTTCACTCAGAGCTTTGAATGGAGGGATAGTGAAGCCTTTACGACTACCTCCTCACCTGCTTGGGAATGGCTGTGCCCAGCCCCTTCCCCCCCAGCCTTTTACAGGCAGCTCGGCTGTCCCCTGCACAGTAAGATTGATGGTGTTCAGATTGCAAGCAGCCAATTTCAGTCTCTCATGAAATAATCCACTACACTGACAGATGAGTGGAATTTGACACGATGTTCCCCTCATTCGGGCTGCCACACCTGGTTGGCACCAGCCCGCCAGGGTCCTTTAGGGGAAATAGTTAGAGATTTGGGCCAATTTCTGCTGTCATAACATGAAACTGAGACCATGTTTTTGTGAGACTGTGAATTTGTGATCTGTCTTCTCAATGCAGTGCGTTTGTACACAAACAGAATGGGAATATGTTAACTAGAAAACTGACTGATTTTAATGTATTTGCCTGCAGTCCCTGAGTACTTCCTATTTTTCATATTTGTAGTATTAGGAATGCACCATTTATTTTCAGTTACTCACTAGTTAAGGAAGATTAAAACAGTCAATCAAATGCAAGTGAATTTTAAAATTACACAAGTAAAAATGTGCTATAGATTAACAGATTTGTAATTTCAATAATTTAATATTTGGCTAGATCAAGTTCTTATTTTGGAAACTCTGTAAGAAATTACCATAACAACTTGAAGAATAGTGGTGCCTCTTTTTAATTTTTCACAGTAAAGCTATAGGGAGGGCATTTAATTTAAAAAAGACAGACTAAACAATGAAAACTCAAAAGTGGTGTTCAATTGTTTCAGGTAATTAAAATAGACAGCTTCAACTCTTTATAATCACCAGTGTTTTGTGTAACAGGTAAGAAAGGATGAATGATTTTTGCTAAATGTAACTTTCTAATTTAAGATAAGTTTTTTCCCCTTATGGATATATGAAGTACGACAGTAATTTTGATGGTTGCTTAATTTTGAGTGTGTGGGTGTATGTGTCTGTGTGTGAGACAGTGATGTCCTTGAAACTTAATAAAATATGGATCATCTCAAAATTCTTTAGCAAGAAAAGATCCTTGGGATTTGTTAGTAATTTAAAATTATATAGATAAATTACATGAGACAAGAAGTTTTAAGTGCCTAATGAATCATTTATTCTTGAGTCACTTCTATTTTATTGACAGGGTGTACAGAAATGATATAGAAAAAGATTACTGAACAGAATTGTCTATGTAATTTATACTTGACCTGATTTAAAGCTATATTAAGCAAACTATGTATGTTAGAGGTATTCACTTATGACTTGATTACATACTGAACATCACCATCCATTTTAAATTGTGGTATTTTTGTTAAAATATTAAAAAGCATTCTTGTGTGCCTTACACTGATTTTTACCTTAACATTCAATATTACTTTATTGAAAGCTGCTTAAAGAATATGCACTGGAATACCAAGGAACATTACAATAAAGCGTTGTTTTATAGCAGCAATATAGAAGAAAGAGTGTGAACAACCATGGTTGCATATTGGCTTTTTAAGAATGCATACCCATGCTAGGTTGCTAAATGTAGTGAATCGGCCTAAGGATTGGAGCAGACAGGTTGTTATTT